ATTGTCACTTTGATGGGCAATAAGCGAGGATAGGTTGGAGGTGTGGTTAAGTGACTAAAGTAAAATGGAAAATTTAGTCGCTTTTGGTGGTGGTGGCATCGTGGTGGAGACTCACTCTTGCAGTGGTGTGTCTTTATTATGCCATCCTGAAAGAGTGGGTGAAACCAAGGCAGCTAGAGGAGTGGCAGTCCAGGTGGCTCCCATTGCAGTGGCGCCGCCTAGACTCCGTTCTACATTCTGCTCAAGTGGGAAACTTGGACATCAACATAATTCAAAGGAGATGACCACATCCACTTCTACTTCAGCATTAGGTTGAGCTGCAACACAAGAGGATCACATAGAGTAGCTCATTGAAAGGGTGGCACGCCTAGTTTTTGTACTAGTCCCATTAGGACATGAAGAATGTACATATACGTTTATTGAAACATAGACTAACAATTGATTTTATATATAAAGCTTTAGAGGCCATAGTCTTTATGCATAAAATTGTCACTGTCTAGACCAAATAAGGTAATAGATATATAACATTTCCCTCATAATCTGATGAGTGGAAGGTAGACTAGAAAGAAGTATTCACAAGATCTAGAATGAGATTACAGAGCACTTGCTCATGATATTCACAATCTTAACCTCCCTTCAGAATAAACTAAATCATTGCTTAATCAAGCTAAAGAAAAACTTGAAAGAGAGCGAGTTGAAAGCATATTAGGTACACCTCAATAAAAAGGAAATCAAAAATCCCAATACAACTTTGATGGTCATTCAGAATACGTGAATCCATACGCTACTCCTCCTTGGCAGTATCGACATATAGAAAATGCCTCTGCTTCAGTTGAGAATAGTGGAACACAAAACAATTGAAGTGATTCCTCATAATAGGAAGAAGAGCTAAATTTACAGCCCTTACCCTCTGATGGTGATCTAGGTTCCCTTACAAACTAAACACCTATTTTGCTTATACTAGTTGCAAAATAGAGCATTTCCTGTTAAATAGCAATGAACATGATAGCAATTGTAGAAATAACAATAGGCCTTATCATCACATATCTATCCTTTTCTAGAATTAAAGAAGAGGACCCACAATTATATATTGAGTAATACATAAAAGCAATTAAGCTCAATCAAATAGATAGGCAAAAAAAAACTTTTTCTTTATATGCTCAAAAACAAAGCCAATAATTAGTACTATAACAATGATGTCAAAAAGCTTGGTGCATTTGATGAGCAAACAAAGTTTTTCCTTAAGGCTTTCTCTATGAAAACAAACACAAGAAAAAACTCTGATGAGTTGCAAAAGCTTCATCAAGGAAAATCTGAGACAATTAAAGATTATACAACTCGATTCAACAACCATTATAAGCATTATAAAAACTTAGTATCAGACAAATGTGTCTACGCCTATACATATAGGGCCTAAAGAAAATTTATCATGAACATGCGATAAAGAGACCTCATACAAATTTTGATGACTTAAAAAAAACCATAATTGCCTATCAATATCTTATAAAACAATATGATATAGTAGATATAGTGAAGTCAGACAAAAAGATGACTTTTCCTTGTTCTATAGATAGGGAAACCAATTGTCTAAGAAGCCTTAAATTGCAAATCAATCTTAAATAAGGGATTTGGTATATTAGATGCAAGAAAATGTTAAGTCCCAGAGTTCGTACTCTGACCAAAAAGGTCATAATTCTTTATGAGAATTTTCTTTTGGTTGATCTCCAAACTTTAGCAAAATCGCTTCCACAACACCTACAAAATAAACTTGTCAAAGAATGAACAAGGCTTGCTAATAGTTGGTTGGGTCTCGTTACTGTAGAACCACAAAAATAATCACTAAAGCCATCGTGTGAAAGGAGGCACACAAATAGCAAGAGAAGGCACCACAAGATAGCCATGCTCACCTAGAAGACATGCCATAACTTTAAACTATATACCCTAAACCCGAACTATAAAAAGTAAATCTCTGTATAGACTTAAACTATATACCCTAAACCTGAACTCTAAAAGGTAAACCTTGTGTAAATTAGTCTCACACTGGAGGCAATGTAGCAACGGATTAGCTCTAGGTTGTAGATTGAGTTTTCCTTGCCACATAGAAGAGTTGTTTGATTATAGATACAGTGTTTATATTAAAGTATGTAGCATACCTACATTTCCTACCATACAAGCTAGCACTCCATCTGTGGAAAGTGCATGCCACTATAAGCACATTTTATTTGCTTTTGCGTCATTTTCCTTTTTAGTTGGTGCATCCATCCACTTTGAATAAAGTTGCTTAAATTTGTTATGGAAGTTAGACTTAATGCAGTGGCAATATTCATTGATACTTGTTGCCCAATAAAATTCATAGCTCTTTTCTCTACCTTGTTATGGGTAACTTTTATCACCTCCAAATGCTTATTGCATAGCAAACCAATTAACACCAACAGCATCTACCATGAAACCACAAATGTTGGGTTTCTTCTCTATTTGCTATTCAACAACCTCAAACATATAAGTTGCCTAAGTTGAACATATAGCACTACTACTTACCCATTAGATATGGTTCACGCATGAACTAACCTCTCTTACCCCAATCTTTCATCCCACAAAAGAAAGCAAGCCATAAGCCACAAGCTGTGAGCTATGAGTTGTTAGTGACCTAAGTGATTTCTGTGTTAATCTTGTTTTTTTTGGCGCTATTGAGAGTTAAGGATGATTTCTACTTCATCATCACTCATTTTATCTTAGCTTTCAAATTCAATTCTTCTTTGTTAGGCTTTAGTCATGATACAAACACTAGGTAGCTCTTCTGCATCTCACCATTCTACCTCAATGTGACTAGCTGTAAGTTGTATATCCTTAAGGGGCTTATCATTCTTGCTTGATGATTCAGCTTAATTGTATGGCCTAGGAGTTTTAGCTTAATCATACTCTTTTGGCCTTTTATAATCTTTAAGCATATTATAGCCTTTAAACTGATTGTATTCTCTAGGTTGATTATAATCTTTAAGCCTATTTTCCTCATGGCTAGGTGGATAATCTCAAAAATTACTTATAGAAAAATAACCCCAATGGTCACCTTGCCTTTTAGCATGTGGGTATCATGTTTGGCATTTCGATTATCATTGTAATCATTCCTTCTACGATAACTTCTATCGTCAAGTAGATAGTTTTACTTACATGTTATTTTATCAACTTAGACTACCTATTGGCTTCTTAATTGTTTAAACAAGGTTTTATATTCTTTAGTTATATGCCCCTCTTTTTTACAAATTTGGCACTTGATCAATTGCAATTTGCATTCTTCCTTGTTATGGCTTTTATTTTTGCATCTGATACACCAAATCCCTTATTTGAGATCGGTTTGCAATTTGAGGCTTTTTAGACAATCTATAGGACTGATTGTAAGGTTTAGGGTTTAAGGTTTAGGGTTCCCTGTCTACACCAATTATCTAAAAAGCCTCAAATTGCAAACCAATCTCAAATAAGGGATTTGGTGTATTAGATGCAAAAATGAAAACCATAATAAGGAAGAATGTAAATTGCAATTGATCAAGTGCCAAATTTGTGAAAAAAAGGGCATATAACTAAAGAATATTAAACCTTGTTTAAACAACCAGGAAGCCAATAGGTAGCCTGAGTTGATAAAATAAACGATAGAAGTTATTGTAGAAGGAATGATTACAATGATAATCGAAGTGTCAAACATGAATACCCACGTGGTAAAAGGCAAGATGACCATTGGGATTATTTTTCTATAAGTAATTTTTGAGATTATCCACTTAGCCATGAGGAAAATAGGCTTAAAGACTATAATCAACCTAGAGAATACGATTAGTTTAAAGGCTACAATATGCTTAAAGATTATAAAAGGCCAAAAGAGTATGATTAAGCTAAAACTCCTAGGCCATACAATTAAGCTGAATCATCAAACAAGAATGATAAGCCCCCTAAGGATATACAATTTACAACTAGTCACATTGAGGTAGAATGGTGAGATGCAGAAGAGCTACCTAGTGTTTGTATCATGACTAAAGCCTAACAAAGAAGAATTGAATTTGAAAGCCAAGATAAAATGAGTGATGATGAAGTAGAAATCATCTCTAACTCTCAATGGCGCAAAAAAAAAACAACAAGATTAACAGAGAAATCACTTAGGTCACTAACAACTCATAGCTCACAGCTTGTAGCTTGTGGCTTGCTTTCTTTTGTGGGATGAAAGATTGGGGTACGAGAGGTCAGTTCATGTGTGAACCATGTCTAATGGGTAAGTAGTAGTGCTATATGTTCAACTTAGGCAACTTATATGTTCGAGGTTGTTAAATAGCAAATATAGAAGAAACCCAACATTTGTGGTTTCATGGTAGATGCTATTAGTGTTAATTGGTTTGCTATGTAGCAAGCATTTGGAGGTGATAAAAGTTACCCATAACAAGGTAGAGAAAAGAGCTATGAATTTTATTGGGCAACAAGTATCAATGAATATTGCCACTGCATTAAGTCTAACTTCCATAACAAATTTAAGCAACTTTATTCAAAGTGGATGGATGCACTAACTAAAAAGGAAAATGACGCAAAAGCAAATAAAATGTGCTTATAGTGGCATGCACTTTCCACAGATGGAGTGCTAGCTTGTATGGTGGGAAATGTAGGTGTGCTACATACTTTAATATAAACACTCTATCTATAATCAAACAACTCTTCTATGTGGCAAGGAAAACTCAATCTACAACCTAAAGCTAATCCTCCAGTGTAGGTTTACCTTTTAGAGTTCAGGTTTAGGGTATATAGTTTAAGTCTATACAAAGGTTTATCTTTTATAGTTCGGGTTTAAGGTATATAGTTTAAAGTTATGTCTTGTGGTGCCTTCTCTTGCTATTTGTGTGCCTCCTTTCACACAATGGCTTTAGTGATTATTTTTGTGGTTCTGCAGTAACGGACCCAGCCAACTATTAGCAAGCTTTGTTCATTCTTTGGTGTTGTGGAAGCAATTCTGCTGAAGTTTGGAGAGCAACCGAAAGAAGATTCTCATAAAGAACTATGACCTTTTTGGTCAGAGTACAAACTCTGGACTTAACATTTTCTTTTGTCAAACTTTTGTTATGATAGCTGCTCTCGCGTTTAAATCAATTTCCTTTAGATTTTAGTGTTTCTTCTTGGTGGTGGTCTTGTCCCCACCCAAGAAGCGTGGGAGATGGAGCAGCGAGTTCACTCTCGTCACACCATCCAGTGCTGACCACTCGTTCTCGTCGGTGGCCAAGCACTCCTTGAGGCTCCGGCTCTTGCTCGCCTCGCTCCGCCCGCTCCGACAATGATGGAGCTTGATCATCCCCGATGGCGGCTGCTGCTGCTTTAGATCGTCTTCTGTAATCTCTGCCACCACAATCTCCTCCTCCTGCTGCTTCATTGCCGGAGCCGCAGGTACTTTCGTTTCCTCCCTGGATACTCCGCTCACCTTTTTCTTCACCACTGCTTCTTGGGTGGCGGTGGCGTCTTTGCCTTTGTTGAGGTAGAGGCACACCACTGCGCAGTCATCCATCTTCGATGTTGGGTACTTGAGCCTCCAAGCTCTAACGGCGGATTCGACCAGCGATCGAGCCGATGTCGTCTTTGTTGGAGCTGTGGCCACAATCTTGACGACTTCTTCGTTGCTCAGCACGTCCCACACCTGAAAGTGAAAAAGAGAAACTAAGAACTTCAAACTTTAAAAAATGGTGACTTGTCTACTCACCCCGTCCGTGGCAAGAACAACAAATTGATCTCTTTCTGTGATACGGTAGTATGACACCTCTGGGACTGCAATCACTCCAAAGTCCTTGAGACAAAAATCACCAAACGCCCTCGCCATGGCCAGCCCCGGTGAATTGTCGTGCGGTAGCCACACACGGGCAACTTCGGGTTCGTCGTGTAAGGCAAAAACTCGACCTTTGCACTGCCTTATTCTCTCTGCTTCTTCTGCTGACGAACACCAAGGTCATTTCCAAGTCGTACTAGAGATATTCATACCGGGCAAATTGGGTTTGAGATCGACAGTTAGCTGAACTGCTCGTATAGAGTTGTCATCCGCTCGAGATCCCATTACCGCTCTCGAGTCCCCAACGTTACCAAGAACCAGTTCGTCTCCCTGCGCACAGGAACAAAGAGCCATTGGCAACACAGAAAAGCTTGAACAAGACCTGCTTGATGAGCGTCACAGCCGTGGTTCCACTGCAGAAACAGTCGATGATGGGATGAACGCGAAGATCTTTGTCCATCACCTTGTACGACTTGAGATGCGTTTCCTTCCACACCTTGAACATTTCAGGCTCCTGTGCCTCCTCGCCGGAGTCACTCCCCGGTAGCACCTGTTCTTCGGCTTTCTCGGACTCGCCACCATCGGACAAGTTCTTCGACTCCGTAGCCTCCTGCCAGTAGGCCAGCAGCTTTGATGGAAGCGAGTCTCTCACCCTCCGGGCGACAAGATGGCCGTAAGGGCCGTGGCCATCGAAAACGCCACAGAAAGTTGTATCTTTTCGGGAACAAAAGCTCTAAACCAAAAGAGTCTTTAGCAAACGAAAGCGACACAGGACCCAAAAGAAATTCTTCTCACCTCCCACACGATCATGGCGTCCTGATTGACACCTTTTCGCCCTTGCTGCGTGAAGAGACAGGCAGCGCTGTTGGAAGCTCCATTGGAACAGATCCTCCCGGTGACCAGCGCAAGCCTTTGATCGTGCCGCGCCTCCGCTGCCAAGGCCTCCCGCGCCTCCCTTTTCCTGTCCTTCCTACCAGAGTGGCTTCTCTCTTGCTCCTCGCACGAAAGGCAGGACCCCATGAGGGCCCTGATGATTGTCGCCGCACACTCCACCTTGGATGCTCCACTAGTGCCCTGCGTTGCTCCAGCCGCTACGGATCGAGATCTTCGCAAGACTCATCGCTGCTGGGTTGAATTCTGGCACGCTGCCGCCGCGATTGACACTGCGTTCCTGCCGTCATCGGGCGGGATCTTCCAATTCACCCATGCAAAAGCCCCAATTCCCGGCCACAGCGCCTCGTCCCCGATTGCTGTGGCCTCGTAAATTCCCGGTACAGTACGATGTGGTATGGAGAGCTGTAGAGGGCGTGCTTTCGCTAGAAATTCCGTGAATCTTGGGCGCCAGACAAGAATCCACCCATTTCCTGGCTATCCCTACCTGGATCCAAAACCCTGCTGGGATGAGATTGATCGCAGCGCCTTGCTTGCGCGGCGCGAGCTGGAAGTCACAAGTAGCTTGTGAGGATTAGTGCGTCGTCTTGGCGGCGCCCCTCTCGTCGCGCTCCCAAAGACGCTCACTCCACGCGGGCGCCAAAAAGAATCTTCCGACTCGGAATGCCCAGCCAGCCGCCGGCAAAAATTCCGAAACGGAAGATCATCTGCCACGTGGCGCAAATTCGGTCATCTGCGACGGATGTGGTAACGGCCGGTCCGGATGCGCACACGTGGCCGCGGATATTCCCGCCTTGCACGGATTAAGGGATAAGGTTTAGTCAATCATGGAGCTTTCAAGAGAGCGAGAGGACGCTACTAAACAACTGCTCGCATTTAAAGCTCTGGGCGTTCCATTCCATTCTTCAGTGTCCTATTTCCTTTTCTCTTCCCATTCACCACACGTGAACATGGTAAGTTTGATCCAATCAAATTGGCAGTAGAAAAGAGTCACGGTGTATAAGTAGCATACCTGAAAGAAAGGAGCCACCGAAATAAAAAATGCCCATGGTGGTGATGATACGTTTTAGAGGAATTCTGTGCTTTCTTTCCTTTTTGTTGTTCTTGAGTGAGTAGGTCATCCATCTAGAAGGAACAGACAAACAAGCTTGATTGTCTCAGAATCGAAACGAGAAAAGAGAAAGTTTCACGTACGTTTTGGGTTTTGGCGTGTCACGGAGTAGGAGCTGAAGTTTCCATGGCAGTGGCGTCCCTTTTGGAGGATGATCTGTTGAGCAAGTACTGTATCTTACACATTGTCACCATCTGTGCCGGATCGTTTTGAGTCCGTGACATCTCCTGGAGCTTGATCTTCTCGAAGAGATACCGCCGCTCCGCCTCGGCTTCGTTGAGCCGGAGCTTGAGATACCTGCTCGCGTACTCCTCCTCCACTTTCTCCGACTTGGCCAGAGCAATCCGCTGGAGATCATCCGCGTCGCGCCTTGCCTCGTCTGCTCGCTGCTGGAACATCTCCGCCTCCGCCTGCTTCAGCCGGATGATCGTCTCCAGCTCTTCAATCTGCTGCCTCTTGCGCTGCCTCTCGATCTGGAGCTCTGTAAGTTCCCTCCTCTTGTCCTCCACCTCCCTGTCGCACGACTCGAGAGACAGCCGAGCTCGCTTCACGTCCACGACCTTCTCAGCAGCCACGCTCTCCATCTTTGAAACGGCCTCTTTCACCACTTCCGCAATACGTGAGCAAGCCTCCTGCGGCTCCACGACTTTTTTATCCTCGCTCGAATCATCCGCTTCCTCCACCTCCGTTTCTAGGGGCAGAATGAAAAAAATTGAGCAAAATAGAACAAAACCGTACCTTGGAAAAGCCGGTGTATTTCCTTGAGAACGACGCTCACATCGGTCCCACTTCGAAGCCTCTCGAGCGACTCGTGAGCCTTCTCATGGAGTTTTTTACCATTCTGGTCCTCGCTGCCATGGAAAATCCGCCGCAAGCTGTCCAGCTCCCGCACGAGCTCGTTGATATCCCAGTCGGAGGAACACGCTCGAAAAACATCCCTGGCCCAGCCCAAGAGCTCCGACGTGCCACCGCAAGCCCGGCACCTGAAAATCATCTCGGGAGCAGCAGCAGCTCCGCCACCTTTCTTCTTCTTGGAGCTGGTTCCCGTTGTGATCTGCCGAGCTCGCATCGCACAGTCGGTGTGAGTCCAGTGCGAGCAAGAGTCGCATCCCACCCAGCGGCAGGTGTTGACGTCGAAATCAAACTTCCCGCAGAGGAGGCACATACACGAGCTGCAAAAGCCCGTCTTGGCGCTGCAAACTTCGCAGCTACAGTCGTCCACGGGGATCTGAACGTGACATGCCATGTTGCGGCACCTGGTGTGGAAGAAAACTTCGACGAGAGCCGACTGGGTGACGCATATATCCGGGTGGAGGAACGCCTGGATCCCAGTCTTGATCGCCACCAGCAGCTCTAGCTGTGTCCGGTGGGATCGCATGAGTGAAGCGGGAGACAAATCTCCTCGCGCCTGGACGAGCTTCTGGAGGAGCACGAATTCCTCCCTTTGCCTCGGCCCACCCATGCCGGTCAGAACCTCGCGGAGCTCCGCCTTGAGCTCTTCCAGGTACTCGTCGGGCTGTGCGTGGAACCGGCTGGCCAGGGCCTCGATGGGAGCTTGCGCTATGTCGCGGAGGTGGATCCTGTCCATGTTTACCACCTGGTGGACGACCGTGGAGTGATCGTGATCGTGTTCGTGTTGATCTTCCTCCTTCAGGAGCTTGTCCCTCTCTCTCTCGCCATCGCTCTTGGCCACCGTCGCCGCCTCCGCCGCCACCAGCACCGGCAATCTTCTTGCCTCTTCCCCTGTTCTTTCCGTCGGCCAGGTCTCGCGAGAGCTGGCGCTCTCCGACGGCGATTCCCGGCGGCGATCTGGCGATGGGCACGCATCCGACGATGCGAGGGAGAGAGACGTACCGCGAGATTGTGGCGGAGGAGGGGGAGGCGGCGCCGCTGCGCCTGGCGGCTTGCGATCCAGGGACAGACCCTGGCCCTCGCTGTAAGACCAGCTGCGCTTCATGACGATCTTGGACTAGGTGTGGACGAAATCCGCGAAATCCAGCCCCAGCGCCTAGGAATCCGACCTCATTGCAAGCAAAATGTGGCAAGATAGTGCCGGGAATGCCCCTGATAGCCTCGATCCACGAACCCTAGAAGAACGCTGGGGAGCCCTCTCCCATCGGTTAGTTTACTAGAGCCAAGCTTCGAGAACGCCACCGGGTTTCTCTCCATATCTACCAGAATCTTCCCGCATATTCCGTTCAACATCTGACCTGGTCAGCGTGCCGGGAGATTGTGACCGGCTGGTGGCACGAAAGTGGCGGTGACCAGCGCACGCGCCACCCAGTGTAGCCGGTGGCTAGTGCGGTGGTCAGCCGGTCAGCCGGTCGGGCGACCTGGTTGGTGGACGCGAGACATATGCTCCAATCCGATTTAGTCTCCGCAGTACAAGTCAAAGTCAAACTGTGTTTCCTTTTCGCATTTACTAATGCCAGACAATAGCGTGCCAATACCGTTTGATAATGGACGGCTCGGATCACATGCTTTGCGTGACGCAGATAAGTATCTCTTACCTTTAAGCTAAACAAAAGTGGTATCTCTAATAAGAATGGAATATCCACCTTCGATCCGGCGCGTATCACAAGATTGACCATTCATAGTCAAAGCAGCGTGAATTTAGTACTCAAATACTCGCCTCCTCCATTGAAGAGCTCGTAAGTTCTTCACAGACGATCATGGCGTCCTCCTCGATTTTCCGTATTGCAGCGTTCCTCCTTCTGATCGTCCTCTCCAGTTCTTGTGCTCGAGCGCAAGATGGATCATGCTCGGAGTCCAGGCCATGCCCCTCCGGGATGTGCTGCAGCCGGTTTGGATTCTGTGGCACCACCGATGCCTACTGCGGTGCCGATTGCCAATTCCAGTGCCCAGGATCATCAAATCCTCCTTCGGTTCCAAGCCCAGCAGCACCCAGCCAAAACACGGGCGTGATCGCCACTTACTGGGGACAGGATGGCGGAGAAGGAAGCTTGCTCGATGCTTGCAACTCGGGGAACTACCGGATCATCATGGTCTCGTTCCTCTCCCAGTTTGGAAACGGCCAGACTCCGGTGCTCAATCTCGCCGGACATTGCGATCCAGCGGGTGGGACTTGCACCGGATTAAGCTCCGAGATCAGCCAGTGCCAGCAGCTGGGGATCCGAGTGCTGCTCTCCATTGGTGGCAGCACTGGAAGCTACGGCCTCTCATCGAGCAGCGATGCCCAGTCCGTGGCGAGCTACATCTGGAATACCTTCCTCGGCGGGAGCTCCAGCTCTCGGCCCCTCGGCAGTGCCGTACTCGACGGCGTCGACTTTGACATTGAGAGAGGTGCCGTTCCACAGCTCTACGTTGATCTGGCGAGAGCTCTCCGAGGATTCGATGGATCTATGATCCTGGCTGCAGCTCCACAGTGTCCAATCCCAGACGCCAACCTCGGATCCACAATCCAAGTCTCGGGCCTCTTCAACTACATCTTCGTCCAGTTCTACAACAATCCTTCGTGCCAGTTTGATGGCAGTAGTGCATCAAACATCCTCTCTTCTTGGAACTCGTGGGTGTCCGACTCGGTCACGCCATCCTCGGCCAGGGTTTTCATGGGATTGCCGGCATCGTCCTCGGCTGCTCAATCTGGAGGATTCATGCCAAGCTCTACTTTGATCTCCCAAGTTCTTCCTACAATCAGATCTTCTCCGAAATATGGCGGCGTCATGCTCTATGCTGTGAGTTTTGACCGCCAGACCTCCTACAGTAGCTCCATTCGCTCCAGCGTCTAGAGCGCTTAAATGTTCGTGGCGCTAATCTTGATTTTAAATTCAGTGAATATACTATACTTATTTTGTCCTTGACCGTTTGAAATTGGACGGTCCCGATCAAGTTTGGTCCTTTTAGGTCTAGGGTATTGGCTATGGAGGAGTTTCTGGATGTTCTGACGCCAGAAGGCGCGCACGCTGGATTCTCCAAGCCCAGGTATCGCGTAGCGATTCATGGATTAGAGCTGAGTCTGATGCCCTGAGAATGCCAGGAATTTGGTGCACAGAGATGGCGACTACCATCGAGCAGTGCAGGTGTGCATCTATGCCGAGAGCACGAAGCAAATCCTCTTGCAAAAGCGAGCGGATTGCAAGGACTCATGGCCCGGGCTGTGGGATATTTCGTCCGCTGGGCATATCTCCGCCGGGGACACCTCGCTACACACTGTCAGGTTTTCTCTTTAGTTTGTCTCGATGATTTAGTAGAAACGAACGCTTTACTTCTGTAGGAAAGAGCTGGAAGAAGAGCTTGGGATCATCTTACCGGAGGATGCTTTTGAGCTTCTCTTCGTCTTCCTACAAAGAGTGTAAGCTTTTTTCCTTCTTCTTTATGTAAACTGGATCTCACTGTGTGTGCCTGGGTATAGCGCCCTTAACGACGGGAAGTTTATAAACAATGAGTACAACGATGTCTACCTTGTGACAACCATCGATCCCATGCCTTTGGAGGCTTTCACGCTTCAGGTGGCTTAAGTTTTAGGTGCGTGAGTTTGCGGTATTTTGTCTTACCGGAGTTTTTAAGTCTGGTAGGAGTCAGAAGTTTCCGATGTCAAGTATATGTCCATTGAAGAGTACAAGATGGCTTTGATCAAGAAGGATCCAGCTTATCTTCCATATGACATGGATAAAGAATATCACTTCCTGTTTTCGTCTCTAGAGAAGAGGTACGCATTTGTTTATCACTTCTTTGCTTCCTTACTATCTCGCTACTCAGATACGCATCAGACGCCAAGCATAGAATCTCGACTTTGCAGAGCCAACTGAGTCGCTATTGTCCCGTCAATCTGACTGGAGAGGTGAGAATGGTGCATGAAATGAATTGGCACTGGCTCTTGTCTGTTGCAGATTGGTGGCGTGAGCGACGGGGACATCAAGGCATTGTCTTACACGATACGCGCGGCACAGATTCTGGATAGAATATTTATCGAGCAGGTGCATAATCGTCATCTAACCTTTTAGTTCTTCATGTAATGTGTCAGGAATGTTCGAGCAACCCGGACTTAAGTTCCTGGCTGGAAAAGAATGGCGAGAACTCAGAGCTCGACCACCTGAAGCTTTCTTATTTCCGGATCAATAAAAGCCCATGGTATGATGCGTTACGAATCGCCGACCGGTTACTCACTCCTGTTCGTGTAGGTCTTGTCTTGATGAAAACGAAGCGTTCCTGACAACTGCTGATTCTGCGATTAAATCTACGAAAGCAACGGTCCGAAGTGTTCACGGCTGGAATGGCTTGGAATACAGAGCTGCATTTCCGGTGATTAAGCCTCCTGGAGCAAACTTTTATCCTCTGGACATGGACAAAGCGGTAAGCCATTTGGAGTGTCGTTGCTGGTTCACTGATAGTTTTTGGCAGGAGTTTGAGGCTTGGAAGTCCACACTAAACGAACAGGAAAAAGAAGATGCAATCGCGTTTTTTACTGTTATTCGGAGAAATGCTACTGATGCTAGCCGCGGATTATTTCTCCGGAAATACTCGGAGGAGTACAAGCCATATCTTGTAGATGCGGCCAAGCTTCTCAATACTGCCGGAGATTGTGCTGATACCCCCAGGTAAAGAATGCCAGCCTGCTAACAAATTGTCGCCTAACACGTTCTAGCTACAAAGTCTGCAGCGCCTTCTCAAGGCAAAAGCAGAATCATTTGTTTCTAATGACTATTTTGATTCCGACGTTGCGTGGATTGAGCTGGTATGGCGTTTATGTCATAGACAATCCATAACGGAAATGTTTTCCTTCTGCAGGAGTCCGCAATTGACGTTACTATCGGGCCCTACGAGACGTATGAAGATGCATTATTTGGTTATAAGGTTGGGCTCCAACCAGTTTTTTTGCTACATCAAATTTGAGTTTTTTCTTTCTCCTGTTTTAGGCGACTTTTGAAGCTTTTATCGGAGTTCGCGATCATGTAGCGACAGAGCAAGTTCGTCTTTTCAGTGGACAACTGCAGGTGTGGTCCTTTCCGTCGACCTTTCTTTTCTAAACTTTCTACGCGTGCAAGAACCCAGACTTTGGAAGACAATCTACCTTTGGCTGACAAGTACAAGTCTACGAACGTAAAAGCTTCTCCGATCCGTGTGATTCAATTGATATTTAACTCTGGAGTAAGTAGCGAACAATATCTCTTCACTCCTTGTATTCGTCTCTCGTTTACAGGACGTCAAGGGTCCACAAACTGTGGCATTCAACTTGCCTAATGATGAGAGGATTGTCAAGGAGAGAGGCAGCGCTATGGTGATGCTCAAGAACCTCTCGCAAACAAAGTAAGCACGCACTCTCTGGAGTAACTAGATACATTCAACGTGCTTTTCCTCGTTGCAGATTTGACCATATATTGTTGCCAATTGCAAAAGTCTGCATCGCCGAGTCACAGAAACACTATGTGGATTTCGAGGCTTTCTTTGCGCACACAATTTGCCATGAATGCTGTCATGGAATTGGTCCACATACTATTGTTCTCCCAGATGGAAGGGAGTCGACTGTGAGGCTGGTACGCCATCAGTTCAATTTTTTTTCACTTGCATGACTGACAACACAACATTACAGGAGTTGCAAGAGTGCCATTCTTCATTGGAGGAGGCTAAAGCTGACGTGGTAGGCTTGTGGGCTCTTCATTATCTGCTGGATCAGGTATGGAGTAAACATTCAGCTTTCGATTAAACGCTATCTCCCTTGCAAACGCAGGGACTACTTTCCAGGGACTTGGAAAAATCTATGTATGTCTCTTTTCTGGCTGGTTGCTTTCGTTCCATAAGGTTTGGCTTGGAGGAGGCTCACGGGTAAGCAAGCATTTCCTTTCCATTCTTAGTTCTTACTGACGGTGGGATCTCAACAGCAAAGGACAAGCATTGCAGTTCAACTGGATTTATAACAAAGGAGGATTCGAGCTCAACTCGGATGGCACATTCTCTATTAATTTTGACAAGGTAAGCGCCGGCTCCTCTTCCTTGACTTCTAAGTAATTGCTCGTGGACTCTCCTCAGGTGAGGGACGCAGTGAAGAGCCTCTGTACCGAGATTATGACTGTTCAGGCTCTAGGGGACAAGGCCGCCGCCATTTCTCTTCTGAGCAAATACGCGACCGTGACACCAGCACTGGAGCGCATGCTCTCTCGGGTCAGAGACGCAAAGGTTTGCTTGATTTGCTTCGCGATTCTTGGCACAATTTTCTAGCTCTGTTAACGCAGATACCGGTGGATGTTGTCCCTTCTTTCGACGTGCTAGAGAGGCTTTGAAGCAAAAAGGAACGGTGTTTAAAAGCAAATCTCTTCTTGCTTGGCAATACCAAATACCTTTCTCTTCGAGGTTAACACTTACATGTCCCCTCGCAAATCGGTGGAGGGCACTCATTTGTCAATCACGCTAAGTTTCAAACAACCTTCTCTTGGACTAGAAATCACCTCTGCTCACCTGTGTATTAATTCCTACTAACCGAGACGGTCACTTGGATGTCCGAATCTGATCTTCGAAGGTCCGCCGCCCCAACAAATCTAACCAGCAGCCGCGACAGCCTCGCCCCGGCTAGCCGCCTCAATCGCAGCCTTTCCTATTGTCTCGCAGTTCTCGCCTTCCACCCTTCCATTCCTTTCATGCGGCGTATTCGCATCTGTATTGCCGTTTTCATCGCCCTGTATGTGATTTCCTGCGTCGCTGTTTCCTACGTCCTGACTTTGACTAGCGCGGCTGCCTCCTCCACCCTTTTGGAGTTGCTCCTGCAAGAGCAAGACATTGGATCAATCCAAATAGAACAAGGTCAGCGAACTTACGAGAAGAGCTGCATTCTCAGCCGCTAGTTTGTTCCGCTCCTCCATGGCTTGCTCCAGCTCCTGCCGCAAGCTCATGTTTTCCATGGTTAGACTCTCGACCCTTTGCGCTAGCTCCTCACACTCGGCCTGTGAATCACGCCATTGGTGAGACAAGACTAGATAGAAGAGCGTGAAAGTACCTGCTTTCGCAATCGTGAGCGCCTCGCTGATTCTCTGTTTGATTGCTTCCTTCGTTGCCGCTTAAGCTCGCGTTCATCCTGTTGCAAGTGTAGAATTCAGTGCAATGAACGAGCCTGGAAATATTTACCTGCAGCCACAGCTCGGGAGGAACCCCTTCCCTTCCGTGCGGTAACATTTGACCACTTGGCAAGGGCACCATTGACTGGGAACCACGCTTTCCTTTCCCAGACGACTGGTTCCCGGTGGGTGTTGAGCCCCAGTAATCCATCCCCATGTTAAGACTAGTGCCTACGCTGGCCTTCCCCCCGGCAGGATTTGAAGGAACACCCGGGGACACGAAAGCACTCCCGACTTGTCCAGAGTATCCGGGCTGCCCAGCACTAGGGGCCGATCCTGAAGCATGACTGCTTAATAAGCACCGACGTGTATTTGATATCTTTGAAAAGATCTAAGTACCTTCGGCATTCATCTGTTCCGAGTTCCTCTTGTCGCCCTGAAAGATAAAGCCAAAACAAACGTAAGCCCGCGTAAAGTGTGACAGAGACAAAGTTAAGTTATTACATCTTCGTCACTGCCATCACTGGATCCTTCACTTCCACTTTCGCCACTGTACAGAAACACAGAACAGAATGTTTCGAGTTTGAGCTAGATATCGCAACAAGCAGCAGCGTGTATTACCTTTGTGACACTACACCGTTGGGAGCAGCGGTCTTAGCAGCAGCTTCTGCTCCTCCTTTATTCAGCGTTCCGAGATTACCTAAGCTACTATTCTTCGACTTTTTCATGGGACTTCGCTCCTTGCCGTCGGAAGATTTGCCATCAGTATCTGTTGTAGCTCCCTGAAAGCACACAATCAGATTCCAAAGAACAGATATGCGAAAGAGGCATACTTCAGTGGCGTTTCCCGGTGCTGGCATTCCATACTGGCCATAAGGATGTGGCCCCTGCACAAAGGATTCCTTCCATCAGCGGAAAGTCGATACCAACAACACCATACTCGTACCGGCGGCATGCCGTAGGGCGGATACATGGTTCCATATGGAGGTGGGGTCCCGTAAGGAGGCATCATCGGCTGCAAGAAAAAACCATCATGTGAGCTACACATTCGTGACGCAGAGTAATGAAATTTACCTGAGCTCCCCACATATATGGATGCGGCTGATAGCCAGGAGGGGGCGTTCCACTATTGTAATAAGCCTGTAACAAAGTTCTAGATTCATGAGCAACACAAAACTAAAGGAAAGAAAATTCTCTATTCTCAGAGAAAAAAGCAAAGCAAAGCTCTATCACACACACACACACACACACCTGAAAAGCCGCTGCCCACTCGGGGTAAGTTGCGGGAGGAGATGGCTGATCCTGGTGCAAAATGCCACACAAAGTTAGAACGGAAAGAAAAAAATTCTTCCTTGAGAGGAAGAGCCCCCACCTGCGCTGTGGATGTCTTTGGAGTCTTAGTCGGCGTGGCTGCGTCCCCAGATCCCATGCTTGGAGACCACCTATAGCTGACAATCGCGGACAAAAGCTCGAGTTAGTTTGGTATAGGGCACGTTTGGCGCAGCACCGCGCAAGAGAAATGCGTGCTCGGGAGCTGCGAGGAGGGGATTTACCTGCATCACTGGAGGAACAAGCGCTGGAGATCGTGATCTGTCACAAGAATCTATGCCCGATGGAGCTTTTCCCGAGGAGACAAAGGCGCGCAATGCTGGGAGGCGCCGATAATCCACACCAGCGCCTCAACGCCCGTGCACTGCGCTGCTATTGCGTTGCTCCTTTCCTAAAGCCCTAGAGCCTCGCGCGTCCACGCGAGAATGACACATCCAAACCCTATACAACATGGATGCCACGGTCTCGCAAACACAAGAAGAAAGAGAGTGTTCGTTGGGAAGGCCGCGCGCCCACCGCGCCGTATGCTCATACGGTAATACAGGCGATCGCCCATGTATTGTCTAAACTCCTTATGGCGCAATACGTTTAAAGAGGTACGGAAGGGACGGCGCACAGACGTGGCTGGGCGGACCTGTGACGTGGCAGGTTCTCTCTTTAAGGTGGGCCAGGCAGACAACCAATGGAACGCCGGCGCGTAGCAGAAGAAAGAACACGTATACTTCCACAGCTGGAAGACACGCGGCGTGTGAGCAATGGGCCAGCCAGGAGTATTGTGAGATGGCATCGGACGGCTGGCGATGCCAGTTAGGCTCCGAGGAGATGTGGCCCTTCAAGCTAGTGACCTGGCAGCCCACGTTCAAATACGTGGAGGGCTGGCGTACGCGTACACGTCGGCGCTTACGATCATGAAAGAGACAGGCGGGGATGCCGGCCACGTGGCGTCCCGCGAGCCAATGCCGGCCGGATGACGCGGCAGTGGGCACGCGGGGCAAAAACGACGTGGCCTGCGGCGGTGGCGTTATCACGGCCGCTGGATAGTGCCATTTTCGACGGTCGGATGCGCGGCACGCTGGCGGCTCGATCATCAATGTCTCAGCCAGCCGTGCATTTGACGCATCCATTACGGAAACCAGAATGATATCACGTGGCAGGTACAAAAAAAAAGATTTTTTTCCACCAACTTTGACTTGTATGAATTCAAACGCTTATCTTTTTATCGCGTAGAAATAGTATGTTACGTAAACAAAAACCATATATACCATACTATATAAAACTTGCTACTGCCATCCAAGAACGTAGTCCAGGAGCGCGACCACCAATATGGAGAGGGGATAGAGAGCCAGAGGAATAAACGATGTCCAAAGTGGGAACGTTGTCCGGGTGCCTCCGAATATACCCATGATCAAAGCCACCAAAGTGATCACCAAAACTTCCGACGAGAAGTCCCATGTCAAGCCCCGGTAAGCCACAACAGCCAGGAAAATCCCAAGACACAGCGTGTTGTTCATCGTGACTCCACCATAAATCTACCAAAGCAAAGAGCACTCACTGGTCAGCACCATTTTTCCTCTCAATCACAACTACACTTCACCTGGGAGTATGTGAGCGATATGTTTTGCTTCTTCTTCTTCGCAGCGAACAAGACTGAGGAGATTGCCTCGCTTGAGTTCGTAGCCAGTGGCGTGGCTACAAAAGCGATGAAGAAGGACGGGATCCCGGTTGCAGAGGAGAAGTTCTCGATTGAGTCCACCAGAGGATCGGCAAAGATACCAGCAATAAGTGCGCCAAGCACGATGAGTAGAACTGCTTTGGTGATTATTTGGTTTTTGGTCATGGATTCCCCCGATTCTTCCTCTTCTTTTTCTTCTCCTCCTCCTTGACCATCCATCAAAGCCATATAGGACGTTTGTGCGCTCTGAGTGTTCATGAAAAGAGAACCAAAAAGTTAGCCAGAGATTTCAATGCGGTCGCTTGCTTACTTGTGCTTCAGTGTCCCATCCATTATCATTATCACGATGTTCTTCTTTTGGTTGTTGAAGATCTTTAATCCACCTAGTAAAGCCGCTAATAAACTCAGACTCCGAGATCTTATCGTCGCTAGATCGATCAAAGTCACTCATCCAGGCTTTCAACTCCTCTTCCTTTGGCAAGAGTGACTCGTGGCCGATACCAAGCCCAATTATTAACGCCTTGAGCTCATGCTGCGTAAGATGACCACTTTTATCTTCATCAAAATAAGAAAACAACCTGCATTCATAGATCGCACCGGATGTATACGTACTGAGTCAGGAACTCAAGGTTTAATGAACGCCACTCACTTGGTTAACGCTTCTGTGTTTGTTGAACCGTCTGAAAGTACCAAGTCCCCCCAGCTCTTAGATTTGGAGTAGCTAGACAACTTCTGTAGAGTATGAAACAGTCGGAACCGTTGCCTCGCCAAAGCTATTCTTCTTTGCTGAATCCATGGCGACATAATCTGCAACACAGCCATAGCTTTTAGAAAGAGTAGTAGTACATTTGTTTGCCAGAAACCGTGATATCACGATACCATACCTGGTATATGCAGTAGGCTAGAAGACTGCCAAAAGACAAGACACAGCTCAAGATGATAAAGAAACGCCCCAACTGCGGCTGGCGAATGATTTTAGGGAGCTGCGCTAAGATGTAGGGAATAACTGTAATAAGCATAATCCAAGCGGAAACTTTTGTCTGTGCGTCAGTTGTCACTCCAGTTTCTACAGAGAAACAGCCAAATCAAATCTCGCGGGTGGAAGGATTCGAAAGAGAAAGCTTACTGGACACATCGAACTTCCTGGTAAGCGTCTTGTCCTTGGCTACGAGATTTCCATTCACCTCTTGAAGATCACACCTTCCAACTATGAGTGAGCTTCCCCATAGGAGCGTTAACAGCATGATCGTTGATCCCGCAAGAAGTCCCATACCAACAAGAACTTGGGAAAGAACTTCTGCTTCGCTCGCAAACAGACCAGAAACTACGAACGAAGAAAAAGAAAAGCAAAGTTACAAGTTTACGACACAAACTTTGGTTGGAAGTGAAGAACAAAAAGTCGATGGAAAGCTTACCAAGTATGAGGATTGCGTCTGGCAGTGCTCCGAGAATTGGCAGTAGCAAACCACCGATGATTCCCGGATTTAGAACGAGCAGCAGCAACTCACTCCCCTCGGACAGGAACTGCGCGGCCTTGAGCAGAAGAAATCCATACACGATGAGCAAGAAAATGTTGCCAGCGACTCCAGTGGAGCAGGGCAAGAAGCCATAATTTGGCTCACACGACTCCTCCTTGGCAGCTTTCCTGAGCCTCAACACGGACGGAAATCCCGCCTTGTCGACCGATGAGCCGCTACTGACGAGCTGAGCGGCCGCCGCTGCCAAGGAAAAGCATGCGAGCAGCACAAAGATCGGCAAGATGTAGCCTCTCGCCCTCATGATCGAAGGTAATCCCCTGGTCGATGGAAAAGGTATCCTGTGGCGCGGAGCTCTAGATCTGCGCCGACTCACCTCGGATTCTAGAAATCTAGCAGCGTAGCGGCAATGCACCCGGCCGCCAGTGATGGATCGATCGATCTCCTCCGCGGGCAAATATCTGATAAGTAATGGAATATTCTGGTTCCAGTGAATCTAGGCCGTCCGTCCTGGATAGCGCGTATCAGCGAGTGTCGGTGAGCTCTCTCTCTTTTTTCTCTCTCATAATCGTGTCACTTGGAAACGAGCCCAGCTGAGAAGACACACAAATTTTTCTAGTTACGTGGTGTTCGTCATCTCGAGACACTGAAAAGAGGACTACATGGACGACGAAAGTCAATATAATATAAACTACACCCAACTATGTACCTCACATACACACATACTTTGTAAGTACATTCTTTAGAAGCTTTTCATCGACATCGAAGGGGCCCCCTCATATACATTGTCCTCGAAATATGTAAAGGGAAGAAAAAAAACGAAGAAGAACGCTAATAGTAAGAGACCTGGTGTAAGCAAAAAGATGGATGCCCCCCTCCCTCCCCCTAAGTAGTGCTGTTGTTACATCGTCACCTCCCCGCTCTTTTCCTATGACCACAAAATCACCGTAACTCCAGACAAAAGCCGCAAAAGAATGTAGGAACGAACCGAAACGAACTTGTGTAAAAACCTCCCTTGCATTCGTAGTCGTCGTGGTTGTCTTCGTGGCGACTAGCCGCGCACGACCTGGCCCGGATCAAGCTGACCACTGCAGTAGCTGGAAGGAACCACTGAAATCTCCTGGCGGCCTTTCCATTCCTCGCCCGGCTTCAAAGTGATTGGCGTCTCGATCACTGCTGGCTCCACGCACACCATGTGTAAATACTCGTCGTCTCCAAAGTCTGCCATGGCTTTGGCTTTCTTGTCCCATGGATTCCACACGACTGTAGAACAGCACCAGCAATGGTTACCGACCAGTCCAGCACTAAAAGCAAGTCTTACCTGCGTCTGGGAGGCCTTCCTTTTTCACCACTATCGTCCGCTTTTTTTCGTGATCAACAATGGCGATCTTCGTCGGTGTGCTGACGTACACGCGATCCACCTGTGTGTTGTGTATCCTTGGCTTTTCAGAGATCCGGATATCAATATCAGAAAGCTTACCTCTCCATCGAAAGTGATCGAGTCTCCCTGCTCGGTGAAGCGCTCCCTGTCTTGTAAGTTGTCCAGAAAGTCGAGTGTCTCCAGGCCTTCAATGCGAACCTCACTGCCGCATCAATCAATCGAATCTCGTTAGCAGAAGAAGCAAAGAAAAGGTCATGGCACACCTGATATCTGACACCGAGAAGTACGTGTGCAGAGCGAACGTAAAGGTGAAAGGCTTGGTATCAGTGTTCCTCACGCGAATGGTTTGCGCAAGATCGCCGCCTCGCTTGAGAGTAAGACGCATCCGCAGCTCAAAACTGGAGAAAGAAAGAAACATATAGAACTCGCAGCAGTGAAAAAAAATGTTTTCGACGTACTTGTGTGTCCACATCTTGAGGTCGTCTTCCGCAGGCTTGAGGATGAGATCGACAGTGCTCCCTCGGCTGCTATTGCTTCCACTTGCGTTAGTGCTTGACAGGATGGGAGGAGCGTCAGTCTCGATGGACCACAGCCTGTTCCTCGCAAATCCATGCTTCTCGAGCGCTCCAACATTCGCGAACTAAGTAGCAGTAGTTGAGAGAACAAGCGCAATCTCAGACACTCCTGTTTACGAACCTGTGGGAAGCAAATTGGTATGCCACCTCGAATTGGCTTGGGAGGCTTGAAAGACGTCTGGAATCGGTAGTTTGGAACATTTGAAATGAACTGAACGAATTCTACCTTGCTGCTGAGAAACAAGAGCTCCTCGCCACGATCATTCTTCCACGAAACAACCTGTCCCCCGTAGAGATAAACCTGAAAGAGGCTTTCTTTATTGCCAGTTTCTCTAAGACGGAACTAATCGACTCACCTCCGCCGAGGCTCCCAAAGGCTCCTTGAGGATGATCTTTTCCAGACCAGCAGCATCCCTGGTTACCAGCGGCTCCTGAATCGCAGCCATTCCCTCCAACTGCATTGTTCGCGAGATCAAAGAAAAGGCCGCAATCGGAATTGGCATGCAAGCGATTCCAGGCGATAGCGCCGGATTACCTCTGCTGTGGAGCTCCGAAATCTTCGACAATCGATCGAGGAGCAGTGGATCTATCGCCGGCGCCACGCCAGGAAATCAAGCCGCTCTCCTCTCTTAGGTATGACGCCAGGGAGGAGAAAGGGCTTAAAACACATTCTGTCTTATAATGCCTATCGTGGCCGTCCGTCGCGACAGATCCAACGGATGGTACTTTGTCTGGGCTGGCGTACTTTATATGCCCATATGATTTGCTTAGGTTTTAAGCTGACCTGTTGGGTCTCTTCTTGCCCTAGTGATCTACAGGGCTTTGCCATCAGAACATCAGATCAAAGCTTCGAGCTAAGAAACCATCCATGCAATCATAACAATTTACAAATTTATTGATCTCTCGATCAGATCAAGCAAGCCGAAAGCTATGTAGGATCGATCAAATTATATTGATCTCTCAATCAGAATCACTGCTGCTGCTGCTGCTGCCTCCCCCTGCCTTCTTTTTCTCCTTGTGCTGGTTCTTCTTCTTCTTTATCTTGTCCATGAGACCCTCTTTCTGGGGCTGTGTAGTAGTGGTGCTCGTTGTTGTGGTAGCCATTCCGGGCTGGGGAGTGCCATAAGAACCCGGGGCGGTGTTGTGTGATGGAGGAGTGGAGGACTGGACTGGAGTAGCATGACTCGGAGCGGTGTTGTGCGCGACTTGATCCTTCTTGTGACCCATGTGGAGCTTGTCGCTAATCTTTTCCATCATCGAGGCCATTGCTTTGTGAGAAATCTGATAAAGATTCAAGCAGCCAAACATCAGGAACTTGTAGCCACATGGATGAGCCAAAGCGGAATACCTGGAGTGAAGGGATCTTTTCCTCAAGTTGAAAAGACGGGAAATGGATGAACTCGTTGTAAGGTACAGGGGTTATATACGAGGCTTTGGCGCTGCGTGGGCTAATTGTGCTTTGCCAGCGATTGCCTCGTTTGATGCTCTAGGCCACGTATCAGTCACCGACACGAGAGGCTATGATTAAAAGAACATTCTTACTTTTCATAAGCAGAGCATAATTAATATGAGCAAGATGTCTTTTCCATCGCTGGCTTGTTTGGAAAGGGCAGCGGGATGGTGTTTCTGAGCTAGACAGTCTGCCTGTAGTGGATGCAGTGGCGCATTTGTTTCCTAAGATGGAGGAAGACACTAGAAACGGCCTGATTTGCAGGTATTCTACCACTTTTGTATTTTCACCATATGAATATTACAAGTATTGTAGGCTGCCTCCTCACAAGATCTAGACTGGGGATCTCATATGTAAAAGGTCCCAAAAGTAGTTATTGGCTTTCAACTTCATTCTTTGGTTATAAAACAGTAACCCATCAAAAATCCAAAGGATGGGACTGCCAGTGAGCAGCCCTCTCGAATCCATTCCTAAAGCCTTTGTAGTCTCGGATCGCCTCTATAATCTCCTCCCGCGTGTTCATGACGAAGGGGCCGTGCTGGAACACGGGCTCGTTGAGAGGCTGCCCGGCGATGAGCACGAACCTACAAGCTTTGTCCGAATCGTTCCACACCATGACACCGTCTCCGTGGCTCAGCTCCACCGTCGTGTGAGCCTCGATCGGTGGCGTGCCTTTGCTTCCAAAAGTTGGCCTGCCTTCCAGAGTATAAGCGAAGGAGTTCCATCCCTCGGAGATTTCCTGGGCAAAGCTGGCACCCGGTTGCATGGTTACGTCGAGATACATGGTTGGAGTGCGAGTGTAGACTGGCGAAGAGATGCCCAATGATTCTCCGGCTATGACTTTGACAGTGGTGCCGTCTTTCTCAGCCACTGGTATGTTTCCAGATTCAAGCTCCTGGTAGTTTGGCTCGATCCTAGATACAAGAAGCGCTGGTTGATACTCTGATGAAGCAAAGGGAAAACGAAGGAAGAATTTATACTTACATTTTAAACTTGGAGGAAAGATTGATCCAAAGCTGGAGACCACGCTGTACACCAGTGCTAGCGGGCATCTCGCAGTGCACAATGCCTCGGCCAGCAGTCATCCACTAGAAGAAACTATCATGATAAAGCAAGAAAGAAAAACAGAGAGATTTAGCAAACCTGTAAGTCACCAGCTTGAATAGTGCCTGTGTGTCCCGCAAAGTCCTGATGGGTGAAAGCCCCCTACACATCGCAAAGAACATTTTTTAATCTCGGTGCATCAGGAAAAAAAGAAGAGGGAATACCTCGAGCATGTACGTGACCGTTTCAAAGCCTCGATGGGGATGATCAGGAAATCCGGCTGGTGGAGAAACTATAGATACGTCAACGAAAGAAAAAAAAAGTATTAGAACGAGCAAAACAGAAGAAAAAACGATTGATCGCGTCAAATTACCTGTGAAGTAGTCGAGCATGAGAAATGGATCCAGTTGTCTCAGCTCGGGTCTTCCGATGCTCCGCCTCACAACCGCACCATCTCCCTCTGGCTGCTCGTGCGCTACAATCCTCTTGACAACTTGTCTGGGATTTATAAACGCCATGGCTGCCGCGCTTCTCTGGATCGACCTCGCAAGGATTTGCTGCCTAGAGATACTTGCTGATGCTTGCCGCTGGAGATTGGAAGCGCCAAACAAAGAACACTGCTTTATAAATCCCAACACCATCAGTGAGAGTGCCAGAAAAGCGCACTGTCGAATCAAATGCCTCATACACCAATTCCCTCCCCCCAAAACAACTCACCGCTCACAGAGATGTCGAGATCTCTTGCTTTCCCCACTCGATCCGTGATCTGGAGCTCAGCCACAATTCAATTTAAAACCTCCACCGTCCGGCTTCCCGGCACTAGCGCTTCGACCTAGACCAAACTAGAACTCTCAAAGGGTGATGTCACGCCACGCTGAATCTACGGCTGACGCTCAATGACGACGTGCTGACGTCACCTAATGCCATAAGAAATATCAATCGGCTCATAGTCTTCATAATGAGCAAATCTATGAGCAAATCCGTTCAAGGAAAAACACTCAACTGGAAGCAATTTGCACAGAAATTTGTACAGAAAATGCCTTTACTACCACAATGTTCCTTTCACTCTGCTACTAAACTAACTCTTGCACTGCATACGCTAGGCCTCCTGAAGATGTAACCATGCAATGCTGCGCTCACAAGAAGCTTCCACAGGGGCATCTATCAGCAAATGGTGCGTGTGAGCTATAAAGCAGCAGCTTTAGCAAGCGAAATCAACCAGGAAAACAGAGTGTGTCGTTTTTGCTTAAAAAACTAACATGGTATCAGAACAAATGATGATCTAATGGGCAAAACAAGACCATACAACGAGCTATGCGACTCTAGATCGCTTGACCACTGGACAGCAGCAGAGGAAGAGGAAGAGCAATATTTGTGCTGTTGAGAACAACAGGGTTGGAGTGTGTCATTGCAGTAGCTTTTTATTTTGAACTTTCCTCAGCGTATTTCAATATGCTTTGTGCGAGAATGGAAGCACGCAAGGGTGCTTTGGTTGTCAAAGGACACCACCAGAGGCTTGGAGCAAGTAGGAATTTGTGGCACAGAACTGGGTGAGCCAAATTGCTTTTGAAACGAACAGGAGAGCGAACCCTAGGCCAACCTCCCAACCTTAAAGGGCCTTAAATTCCACAGGCTATAAAATATTTTTGAAATATTCCCATGGTTTGGGTCATTTTCCCCTCCCTTATGACTCAGCCACATACAACAGCCTCGAGAAGTTAATTGAGCCTCACATGAAGGGAGTCCAAGGCAATACAGCTATGTGTAAGTGATTAATTTTTCCATTTTACTTTAGTCACTTAACCACACCTCCGACCACTTGGGGGAGTCTCATTCACAACTTCCACAAGTCCCAGTTAGGAATTGGGGCTTGCTAGCCCCGAGAATGGCATCCATGCCACTCAACTTTTGCACTTGGTCTAAGTGCTCCACGTGTCCAATCCCATGATCGACACCCCAAGGTACCACCGACATATCGGCTCATTACGCTGAGGCCATACCTATTCACCTTGGTCACACCAGTGGTCCAACACCACCTACATTGCAATCCCGTCTCTCATAGACTAGGCCATCCATCCATGAGTGATCATCCCAGATCCACTCCTTAGCATCCTTAGGATGCTCGCAGACTTAGGGAATAACCTTCCCCAATATCTCTTTTCCGGTCCCCACCAAGTCCCTCTCTGTCAATGGCTGTGTTCACCAACACTGCCACTGGATCAAGGCCCGCAGGCTAAGTCCAACTGTCCTCTAGGACTTCCTTACTGGGTGACCGTGTCCTTTGTCACCACACCAGAGGGCTACTCCTCTTCCTTTCCACAGTCTGGGACTTTGGGATAACGTTTCGGAACACCGTGGCCTTACGCAAGCCTCATGGGTACTTTCCCCGCCTTTTGCCTTTAGGTGCTCTAGCCATGGGCTTAGAGCAAGGTTCCATTGAGCCACGACAGGTATCCAAGTAGGTAGTGCCACCCACACTTGGACTAGGAGCATCGGCCAATCGATCTCCCGAGGGAACTAGAGCCGGCTCTTGAACACTTCACTAAGCTACCCCGCTTGTCAGTCCGTGTTCACTCTAGTCTTGGACTTCCCAGTGAGCAGCTCATCACCCAACACTGGGTCCGGTCTTCCTGGGCCAAACTGGCCTTTCCTGGCCAAACTGGCTCCACTGCAGTCCTCCCCCTTACTATACTTTTGGAGCTCACCAAACCCCCCAGGGTCTGGGAGACAAACGCTTTGGGCTTTCACCCTCTCAAACTCGAACTCGGACTTGGACTTGGACTCGAACTCAGACTTGGACTCGGACTCGGACTTGGACTCGGATTCGGGCTCGGGCTCGGTCTTGGCCTCGGCCTCGGTCTCGGTCTCGGTCCCGGTCTCGGTCTCGGTCTCGGCCCCGGTCTCGGTCTTGGTCTCGGTCTCGGTCTCGACTTCGGACTCCATCTCGGGTCCATCTCGGACTCCATCTCGGACTCCATCTCGGGTCCATCTCGGACTCCATCTCGGACTCCATTTCGGGTCTATCTTGGGTCCACCTTGGACTCCATCACGGACTCCACCTCGGACTCCATCTCGGACTCCATCTCGGGTCCATCTCGGACTCCATCTCGAGTCCTTCTCGGACTCCACTTCGGACTCCACTTCAGACTCCAACTCGGGTCCATCTCGGACTCCACTTCGGACTCCAACTCGGGTCCATCTCGGACTCCACTTCGGACTCCACTTCGGACCCCAACTCGGGTCCATCTCGGACACTTCCACGTATCATGTGTTGGTCCTTTTGTGTCCCTTTTTGGAGCCTCACTTATGGCTCGCTTCATGCTCGTTCCTCGAGCACTTCTTTGAGAGTTCCACTCCCACTCTCGACCTTTTCAAGTTGGAACTTTTAGTCCAAACGTGTTACGCTCATTTGGCTTTTGCTTTTGCCACTACCACGTGGCACCCTTTCGGCTCCACTTTGGGGCCTAGGGATTTTGTGTCTCACACTATGGAGAAAAGATGTGCAAATGGCAACACCAACGTCGCAACAAATGGCCATGAAAGAAAGAAAGCAATACGGCTTTCTCACATGACAATATAGTCATGAAAACAAGAGAATGAGAATAAAACAAATGGCTCAAATCATATAGCAATACGGGTATAGAACTCAATTCTCCCCTTCCTTAGGAATGTTATCTAAGTCATAACCAAAACTTAGAAACACTCTCTTTACGTCATCCTCAGTTTCCCATGTAGCTTCGTCCATGGAATAACCATTCCATTGAACTAACAACTCCCTAGTTGTCTTCCAACGTGTTTTCACCAATCTTTGAGCAAGAATATTAGTCGAATCAACATTCTCTACATCAATCTCTAGGACCTGGATGATGGATTGATCCACAACATCACCAGAGTGCAAACACACTTTAAGCTTGCTTACATGGAACGTTGGATAAATCTTTAAACTAACTGGCAAGTCCAAAGTGTATGCAAGATCCCCCACATGTTGTAAAATTGTCCAATGCCCACAATAACATGGAGACAACTTAGCATTGCCACCTCCTTTTGGAGACCGTTGTGCATCTGACAGCTTAAGAAAAACCTTGTCACCAACTTTGTACTCTTGATGACGACGATGCTTATTAGTTAATCTTTTGTCTCGCCCTTGAACTTGCCTTATGGTCAACTTTGCTAACTCAAGCTTGTCTTGCATATCTTCCAAGAAATCACAAGCATGAAGTACCCGAACCAAAGCCAAATTCAAACTCATAGGAGACCTAGGCTCATAGCTATACATCGCCATAAAAGGAGCTAATAGCCGATTGATGAGTGTTATTGTGAGCAAATTGAAGCAAGGCAAGTACTTCTCCCATACTCCCTATCGAATCAAGTTTTCCACAAAAGATCGTAGCATATCTTCTAATAGCTGATTCATGTGCTCTGTTTGCCCATTAAATTGTGGATGCTCACCACTACTCATGCTTAGTTTAGTCTCTAGCTTCTCAAAGACCATTTGCCAAAACTTGGACGTGAACTTGGGATCCCGATCACTCACAATGTCACCCGGCAAACCATAGAGACTGAATAACCGGTCTACAAATAACTGAGCAAGTTTAGAAGCTTTTATCGTTGTCTTCGTAAGGAAGAAATGAGCCATCTTCGTCAAACGATCCACAACAACCCAAATAGAATCATTTCCTCGAAAGGTTTTGGGCAAACCAATGATAAAATCCATTGAGATGTTATCCCACTTATTCTCAAGTACACGTAAAAGATGATAGATGCCAGCAAGCTTATGATGATCAACTTTGACTGCCTAGCAGATCAAACAACCACGTACGTACTTCTCAACATCTGACTTCATCCCAGGCCAAAAGAAATGCCTCTTCACCAACATATACGTTCTCAATACCCCTGGATGCCCAGCACATGGCACATCATGACACTCAACCAAAATCCGTTTGATGAGTTTGTCAACACAAGGAACCACTACACATCCCTTCTTCACCAGGATTCCATCTCATATGTCAAATGATGCAAACTTGTCACCCTTCAAATCTGTAGAGGAGTCCCTTAACAAAACCTTCACACGAATATCAATGATAAAGGAGTCGAAGTCAGCAAACTCCTTAAGCTCATCCAAGAGATCGCTGGATAGCTTCATGTACGAGATAAAATTTACCATCCTGGATAATGTATCAGCCACCTTATTGTCACTTCCATGCTTGTACTGGATCTTAACAGACATTTCTTGCAAGAACTCTTGCCAATGAGCAAGGCAGCCTTGAAGATCCACATTTTGAGAGACTAATGATCTGAATCTACATAGAAGTCCGATCCATATAGATAATGTTGCCATTCTCGAGTAGGTCAATTCCGTTGTGTGGCATCAAACTTGTGGCTTATGAATGTGAGAGAATGCCTAACTTGAAGCAATACGGCCCCAAAAGCACTATCACTCACATCATTATTTATAATTTCCACCACAGTCACTTTATCATTCATTGACCCCTTCAAAACAATCCTTGCTCTGATGTCCAACTGTATGGCAATGAAAACAATTGCCCTCCACCTTGTCCTTCTCTCGCTGGTCCAAACGAAGTTTCTTAACTTTATTGCCATCATGCTTCAAGCCACAACGGAATAACGACTGTTTCTTCCCCAAATAGGAAGAATTAGCAAGCTGGTCATCACGTTGACTACTCTGTAGACTATCTCGTTGACTAGAGTTGACCAAATTGACTGATGGTTTGGGCAAAAAGATCTGAGCCTTAGTGATAGCATCAATCAATGTTGCTGGAAAATCTTTCTTGACCTTCTGCTGCACATCCACTGAGCTCAATCCTTTGATGAAACATTGCACATTTAGCAGCTCATTATAGGTCTCCGTGAGACTAAGGAAAAGATTACGGAACTTGCGGGCATACGCATCCAAAGATAAAGTCCCTTGCCGGATCTTTAACAATTGGTTCACGAGATCAACCTCTTCAAACTTCTTCACAAACGAAGTGTGGAAAACCTTTGTCCTTGACCTTCTACTGCACATCCACTAAGCTCAATCCTTTGATGAAACATTGCACCTTTAACAACTCATTATAGATGCCAAGAAAATATCATGGGACTTGCGGGCATACACATTCAAAGACAAAGTCCCCTGTTGGATCTCTAACAGCTGGTTCACAAGATCAACCTCTTTAAACTTCTTAACAAACGAAGCGCAGAAAACCTTTGTCAAATCAGTCCAAGAAGTCAGCTTCAGATTAGCTTTGATGTAATTCTTCCATCACGAAGAAGCATGGCCCGTAAGCTTTATCACAAAAAAGTCTATCTTCACCTTATCCTCACAAGAATTGTGAGACCAACAACTTTCCCACAATTCCAACCAAGAATCAACCTCTTGACTATCACAAACATCTGGTGATGATTTCCATTCCATGATACCATAATCCTTGACATACTTGACGTACCAATGGTAATCACGGACATGAGATTGATTCAACCCTTGAGGGTCCATGCGAAGCAAGAAATCCTTAATGAGATTGACAGAATCCTTAACCCCCTTTATGTCGCTCTGAACCTCAGGAATTTGGCATCCTTGCTGCACAAAGACATCATCAAGAGTTTCTTCCACATCGTCATGGCTATCATCACTAACGCCATACTCTTCATCAGGATCAATGTCTTGCTCACCCGCCATCCCCAAAAGAACATGCTACTCCGATACCAATGAAATGAACAAGAGAGCGAACCCTAGGCCAACCTCCCAACCCTTAAGGCGTTACAAGCTCTATTTCGTTAAAGTGGGAATTGTCATTATCCCACTTGTAAAATAAGGTTTCCAAACCTTTATATAGTATATAAATATAACAAAATTCAACTGCATTGAGGCACATGCCATTTTATTTTAAACAAGGAAATGTCTACTCAATCACTTCTCCTCCCCCTGCCACTGCTTCACCTCTCTCTTCTCCTTGTCATCGTCGTCCAATTTCTTTCCATCCTTTTAATATTGGCTCAGTTGCTCCGAGTCTAGGTGGAGCCCAAGTCCCCATTCAATCTTTACTTTCCCCTTATTAATAAAACAACTTCGTAGACTTCCAATAACATGCTGTAACACTTCTAGTATAATGCAAATCCTCTCAAAGAATTGTCTTTTAATATTAATACAATGGCATGGAACCCCATGCCATAATAAGTTACATTTTTAAATAAATACATGCCATCTCAGACTGTTATTTTTTGCCTCCAACGCCTATACAATAATCTTGGAATTTCATCACTCTCCACACTATCAGGATTTAAACCCAATAGTAATGCCATCTCTTCTCCAATACGTCCACGCTCATGTTCAGTGGTCGAAGAACCCATTCGGTTGAGCAGATTATGGAGATGCGGATAGTGCTTGGCTAGACAATATACATGCCATAAATGATGACTGGTGTCTGTCCAATCAAATGGCTTCTGATATACCGTTCCATCTGCCATTTGGTTGATTTCTGCAGCCACCTCCTGGACTGATTGGTTCTCTATCACCATCGCTTCAAGCCGTTTTGCAAGGTCCCCCAGAACATACGGTTTCTTCTCCCTAGTTTCCATACTGCAAGAGATGGGGTGCACTGCATATGTGTGCGTGTTCGCTGCAGTTTTAATCGGCGAGTCATCGATGATGAGGATTTCACTTGACCTAGCAGTCCGGTTCATCACTACAGCCTCTGGCTTGACGAAGATGGGCTTGTGTAAGGAACCAACTCGCCGAGGTGTCGTAGGCTAAAGGAACCCCGAAAGCATGACCAAAATGACAAAGAGTTCATCGGATGGGACCAAGTCGAAGATCGAGTCCAAGACCGACTCTAGGACCGAGTTCGAGATAGAGTCCGGAATCGAGTCCGAGACCAACTCGGGGACCGAGTTCGAGTCCGAGTTCGAGACCAAGTTCGAGACGGAGTCCGAGATCCGAAATCGGGTCCGAGACCGAGTCCGAGGTCGAGTCCGAGGTCGGGTCCGAGATCGGGTCCGAGATCGAGTCCGCGATCGAGTCCGAACCCGAATCCGAAGTCGGATCCGAAATCGGGTCCGAGATCGAGCCAGAGACTAAGTCCAAATACTAATACGGGTCAAGGGGTGAAAGCCCAAAGCGTGTGTCTCCCAGGGGGGGGGGGCTGCGGGGGGTTCCAAAAGTATAGTAGGGATAGTGAGGTCCAGGAACCAGTTTTGAAGGGACTCTCCAGTTGGGCTTCCAAACCGACTTGAGGTTGGGACTGGGACTAAGGGGCCTTGGGTGGGAGTGAGCATGGACTTGGCTGGTGCCGGAGGGGCCATCCAAGGAAGTGCTCAAGAGCAGCTCCCACTCCCGAAAGGGAAACCGATTGCGGTGCTCCCGGCTCATGTGGAGTGGTGCCCCACTTGAGTACCATGCGGCTCATTGGTCCTTGCCCTTCCTAGGGGCTTGGGCCTTCCTTCGGGACGGAAGTGGGGGGCGAGAGGTACCCATACCGGGCCGTTAGGCCACGGTGTTTCACCCCGGCGTCCCGAAGCAAGTGTTGCACTCAAGACTTGGGATTTAGAGGGTCCCATGATCAAGTCTTGTGGTACCAAGGGATGTTAGGAACCTGGAAGCTTGGTGTGCTTGGCTGCTTGTGCTTGCGGGGAGTGTAGCCGAACCTTAAGTCCAGTCTAACTCGGGGAGGGGGATTGGGAGTGATTTGGGAATCCGTGGAAGGATGGCTAACACTCCGTTGCTCGTGCAGTGAGTAGTTGAAACCAAGTAGGAGTTGGTACCATAGGCGAGAACCTTGGCAAGGGAACTTAGCAAAAGCCAAGGCAGTGTTGGACGGATAGACGAGGTAAGCTGGCAAATTGGAAAGGAAAAATTTGTGGCTTACAATTTGGTATCGGAGCCTTTATCTCAGTTCTAGCGAAGGATAGAGGCGGATTGCTGGGAGATGGCAAGGGCAGGGCGTAAGCGAACCCAGGCGGAGACGGAACCTCCGCCGGAGCTGGAGCCTCCGGTTGAACAAGAGGCTATGGATGAGGAATCCTTGCATGAGGAGGACTCTAGTGAGGAAACTTCCAAACAGGAGTCCGGTGGCGAGGTTCGGTCGTCCAAGGCTCGATTGGACGTGCTAGAAGGACAGTTGGCACAGACCAATGCCCTGCTGGAGACTCTCGTACGCAAGTTAAAGCGTGACGAGAAGCGGAAGAAAAAGCGAAAGACTGCGGATGCTGGCAGCGCAGAAGGTGCGGACCCTTCGGCAGGGACTGAGGCAAAACCAGACAAGGTCGAACAGACCGAAGTGG